CCCCCCCCCCCCCTCCAATGCACAACTAAAATGTGATTTATACTTTATCCACCTTATACACAAAAAATACCTGAAGGGCAGTTTAGGTCTCAAGGCCTGAAATGAGTTACAAAGAATCAAAAGATACAGTCCCTGGCCCCCACAGAACTGATCTGGGCTAGTTTGTGTGTTTTTTGCCGGAGAGATAGCAACCATCTCCTTTGTTCCCACCCACACGAGTAGCTGTTGCTGAAGATAAACCCCTCCCTCATCCAGTGCTGTGGCCTGAAGCTAACCCAGCCCCTGGCTTCGTTTGGAGGCAGATAACTGAAACCACAGAAGTCTCTGGAATCCTCAGAAACAAGAAATCCACCAACGGAGAAGGATTTATTATCTGTTTCCTCTAAGTAGGGTGCAGAGTTTTTCTAACAGTTTCCGTTACAGGGCTACCAACTGGCCGCTCCTCCCTAACAGACGGTTATGTTGAGTTGCTTTTTTTTTTCTTCTTTTTCGACCCCACTTCCTACGAGAGAAACTGCTCGAGTGAGGAGGGCGAGAGGAGCCCCGGGGGGTGTTCTCTTGAGTTTCCTTCACCATTCTCAGCCGCCTGAGGTGGGGCTGAGGATTGAAGTAGGACAGAAGGGCCCTAGTAGGTGGAGGAGAGGAAAGTCAGGGGGAATCCCCCACTTTCTTCACACCCAAGACGCAGGGTGCCGCTGCTGGCCACAGAAACCCCAAGAAGGCTTTTCTTCCTATTCAGAGAACATCTATTATGTGCCAGGCCCTGTGCTGAGCTGTTGTTGCCTGACAGCAGGGAAAGTGCTGCTCTGGCTTCTGTGAAGAGATCGAGGCCGCGGGGCAGCCCAACTCCAAGAGCCTTGACATTCATCGGGGACTCAGTGGACGCTCGCCGGACGGAGCTGGGGCAAGAACACCGACCCTGAGACAGCAGCCCCGGGGGACTAACTAAAGGCGGGGGAGGGGCTTGAGGAGAGAGCGGTGCAGGAGGGAAGTCTCCAGGTGTGCCACCCAGGCGGGAGGGTGACCGGACACGAGGCGCGGAGTTGAGGGGCTCCGCCGTCCCCGCCCCACTTGCCCGGAGTCATCATGGCCGCCGCGGAGGGGGCGGAGCAGCTCGGAGTTCGGGCAGGAGCGGGGCGGAGCAGCCGTCGGCGGAGCCAGTGCGCAGGCGCCGCTCGCTCGGGTCCCGGATGGAAGAGCTGAGGTTCGGGCCCCGCCTGGGAGGTCGCAACGGGCTGACGCTGGGGACTCGGCGCCAGCGTGGGTGCCCTGAAGTTCTTGGGGGAGGAAAATTGTCTAACCGAGGCGGAAGGAAAGGAGGTGGAGGCCGCGGAGAAGCGGGGAGCCCCTCCCCTCCGCCATAGCGGCCTCGGGTGCCGCCTCTTCCTTTTCGGTCTCCCGCCCTCCCCTGCCTTCCGGCCCTGCGGCCGGGCCTGGCCCTGTCGGCCCCCTCGAAAACACCCCCTGGGCCCTTTGGGGAGAAGAGATGCCCGATCCCAGCTTGGGACTGTGTGTGAAAGAAGCCGGCTAGAACGGGCTTTAGACGCGGCTGGGCTGGCAGAAGGTGGTCCCTGGCTCGCGACGACCAGCAAGGCTTCTCTGGCCTTGAGGACCCTTGGTTAGAGCGATTTTCTCACCTCACAGATGATGTTTGTCTCACCCAGAGGCTCCAGGGCTCCAATTCCGCAGGCTTCCCTGTGTTCTCAGATCGGGCCCTCCCTGCTCTCGGCACGCCCAACAAGATTACAGCCCAGGCCTCCCAAATCCAGCCGGACAGAGGCCTGGGTTGTAATCCTGTCTCAGAAAGAGCGCATCCCCCTTTCGCCCGGATGAGGCCTGGTGGGAAGACCATGAGGTTTCAGAATTTTAAAAATGACATTCTCTTTAAATATAGCCTTGGTGAGCCTCAGTTTCCATATCTATAAACTGGCGATGGTAATTAATCCGGGCCTCGCAGGGTCTAATGAGATCTCTGATGTAGAAACTATGGAGATTTTTATTACTCAGCACTCTGGGGCATGTTTATCTCACGGGAAAATAGAGTAAAACTCGTAGCTCTCTGTCCTGCCAGTTAAGAGAGAATGATTTGGCAATGGGGTTGTTGGGAAGTGAGGCTGGCAGATAGCTGAGAGGGAGAACTCACTGGCTTTATTTTGTTTTTACTTGGTTTAACTGTAAACTACGTGTAGGCTACAAGTCTCCTGTGGTCGCTGGGGCTAGAGCTTGACTCTGGAGAGAGGAAGGAAGAATGGCAGCCTGGTGAAGAGGCAGAGGTGGGTTAAGTGCTTTCCGTTTCTAACTTCTCTTATGCATGTGGGTGGGAACTAAAGAAGCGGAAAAAGTGAAATCACCCCAAGAATAGAGAACCAGCCATGTGAGGTTGGCTATGCCTGTTTCTACGATTCCTCTCGGTTCAGCGAGTCAGATGTTGGAAATGTTGGGTAGATTCACAAACTACCTCCGCTCTCGGGTTTTCAGAAAGCTTGCCTTTGAACTGAATTTTGATGAGCAAACCGGTGTGGCGTTGGTGGCCGCTCCCTTCCTCCTCGCTTCCTGGTGATGGAGTAAGCAGCAGGCGCCCCCTTGTGCTGAGGATAAGTACTGTTGCTATTGGCCGATCTTGCTCCCTTTCTGGAGAAATTTTATTTTCTTATGGCTTCTGTGACTTTGTAGTCTTCCTCTTAACAGGAGTATGGTGAGAGGAATACTTGGAGCAGTGATTTTAAAAAATATATGTTTTTCCTGGCAGGCATGGCTCAGTGGTTGAGTATTGACCTATGATTCAGGAAATTGAGGTTCAATTCCTGGTCAGGGCAGATACCGGGGTTGCAGGCTCCATTCCCAGTGGGGGGCATGCAGGAGGCAGCTGATCAGTGACTCTCTCATCATTGATGTTTCTCTCTTTCTCTCTCTCCCTCCTCTCTCTGAAATCAATAAAGACATGTTTTAAATATATATATGTGTGTATATATATATGTTTTTATTGATTTTTTTAAGAGAGGCAGGGAGAGGGAAGGAGAGAGAGAAACACCAATGAGAGAGAAGCATCCATCAGCTGCCTCCTGCACATCCCCTTCTGGGGATCAAGCCCACAACCCTGGCATGTGCCCTGACTGGGAATCGAACCAGTGGCCTCTTGGTTCGTGGGTTGAGGCTCAACCACTAAGCAACACCAGCTGGGCTGGAGCAGTGATTTTATACCCAGAGCCCATGACCTAGTGATGCTCCTCCTGTTCNGTGGCCTCTTGGTTCATGGGTTGAGGCTCAACCACTAAGCAACACCAGCTGGGCTGGAGCAGTGATTTTATACCCAGAGCCCATGACCTAGTGATGCTCCTCCTGTTCTTGCCACTTCCACTCAATCAGAACACAGGCTTAAAATGTCTGTCTATGTGCTAGGTCCTGGGGATATAGCTGTGAACAAGACAGAGCAAAGTCCCTGTCCTCCTAAGCAACTTAATTAAGCAACAGCAATAAAAGACCACACAGCAGAGTGCAGTGAGAGCATATCACATAGTCTGGTGAAGGTCAGAGAGGAATTCCAGACCAGCTATACCTAAAGGTTCGGTAAGTATTAGCCAGATAAGAGAAGAAAGAAAAGTATTCCAGCCCTCCCTGTTTTAATTTCTCAGTTTAAAGATTTTTTTCCCTTTAGGGATGGAGCCTCCACACAAATCAGGAACTCAGTGGGTGTTTGGGAGCAAGAACACCAAATCAAGGGGTTGCCTCTAGTGCTCTTGCCCTTCCTTCTGATTTCCTAGATTAGTTCTGTAGGAGCCATTGCTACTTCTTTTAGCCCAAGAAATTTTTTTTATAAAAAAGCCTTGAAGTGCATTCCTTGCCTTAGAATGGCTTTACAATTGTTTGTACATTGCTGCCATTCCAACAAAGAGATGGGAAATAAGTCTTCTCCATCCCTAGCAGTCAATTCTGTCTTCCCCCTAAGTTTGTTTTAGCAATGTGAGCTGGCTCAAGTCTGCCAAGTGGTGGTTTTCTTTTCCTTCTCCACTTAATTTAACAGACCAGTTGAGCACACATCAGAGAGCTAAGCTAGAGTGTGTAGTCATTATGGTCTTCCAGTTCAGTTCTATGCCCCATTTTTGGGACTCTGGTTTGGGACCTAGTTTATTATTCTGGGCAAGAGGAAAAGGGCACACACCAAATAATAGCAACCACAATATAGATGTAGTAGTACTTCTTCACACTTTGGTCCATTTCACCATCATGACAGTTTTGCGAGATGGGCAAAATAATCTGATCTCATTTTATACATAAACACTGAGGTTCAGAAGGACTAAATGAGAACTTGTGAGTGACAGAGCCAGGACTGGAACCTAGGTCTTTAGTTCCTGCGTACAGGGCACTCAACAGGCTTTTAAAAGATTTTCTGTGAATTTAGCTTTCCAATTTCATGCCTATCTGTGTGGAACTTTCCCAACAAGTATATAGTGCCTCAGAGTGACACCAAATGACATCTGCCTTCGAGATGCTTTTCCTTCATCCGGGAAGTTAAGTGGTTAAATTTGCCTAGTAATGCTGAAGGGGGAGTCTCCTGTGAAGAATGCTTTCAAGAATTTACTTTCAGCTCATGTGTGACATTTCCCTCTTGGGTTTTGGAGTTTAGAAGCCTGAGGGAGCTCAGTCCTGGCAGCAACACCCCTGAATTCCTGTGGTGAGAGGATGTGGCCCCTGGACCCATCCCGGAAAGAGGTGCTGAGGTTTGCTGTCAGCTGCCGGGTCCTGACGCTGGTGCTGCAGGTCAGTCTCTGATCTTTTGCCCTGAACATGCCGTTTCCGCATGACTGGGATAGACACTAAGAATAGTCCCCCTCTTTTTTTCACCTCCCAGGTGTGCCCCTCCATGTGGTTGGAACCATAGACACTTAGGCTTCGTAGCTGAAAAGTGGGCAGGACTCAGGAATGGTCTTTAATCCCTTGTTTTACACATGAAGCAGCAGAGGCCCAGAAAGGTTAAAGAACTTCCCTAAAGTCACACAGGAAGTTAGAGAAGGGCCAGAATCACACCCCGGGTTTTCTAACTTCTGAACTCGGGATCTTTCCAACAGATCATGATGTCCTGTAACCAGAAATGCCATTAGGGTGTGACAGCTCAAGGCATTGCTCTGGATCCCCTAAATGGAGACTGAGCACTATGTCAGTCAGTTGAGTGGGAAAGAGGTGGCACTGTTCTGGGGCCATCTGTGTATATTCATTTAGTCAATTGTGTCTCCTGCTCTTCTCCCATGTGTCTCCCCTTGCTGCCTCTCCCACACACAGCCCTTAGAATGCATTTGCACTTTTGCAAAACTCCCTTTCCCCTCCAAGGCTGTCCTTATACATATTTTAATCAAATTTTATATATGTATGAATTATATCCAGTGCCTAGCACAGTGCCCAGTGCTTAGTAGGTCCTTAGTATGTGTTGGTGAATGTAGTCAACACTCTTGGTATGTTATATTAGCATAATTATTTGTGCCTTTTATCACAAGCTTCGTTATCTCTGAGGCTCATAGCTGGTTCCTTTGTGGTGTGGAAATCTCCTTTCCTCTCTTATCCCGTACTATCGGAGGAATAGCAGGCTCTGCTGGCTCCCAGGTTTAGTTAAAAGCATCTTCAACATGGAGACTGGGGCTGTTATCTCTGTCACACCTGTCCCATTTGTTTTCACTGTTTGAAGTGGCCTGATTACCAAAAAAACTGACCAAAAAGAGAAAGAGCCTTAAAAATGGGTTTATACTCCTGGTACCAGGCTGGAGAAACTGACTCGATAGTTTTGAACCAGTATCAGCTGAGTCATTGGCAGAACCAATGGAGCAGTACTGTGAATTGCATCTGGGATAGGGAACCAGGACAGCTGGGTTCTAATTCAGATGGTGATTTGGAAACAAGGATGTTTTCTAGACTGTTCATTCAACCACCAAAAGTTTATTAGGTGCCTACTCTGTTCCATGAACTGTGCTAGGTGGCGAGTATAAAAACCATGGTCTTTGCCTGGCCAGTGTGGCTCAGTGGTTGAACATCGATCCATGAACCAGGAGGTCACAGTTCGATTCCCGGTCAGGGCACATGCCCGGGTTGCAGGCTTGATCCCCAGTGGGGAGCATGCAGGAGGCAGCCAATTGATTCTCTCTTACTATGTTTCTATTTCTCTCTCTCCTTCCCTTACTTTCTCTGAAAACGTATTTTAAAAATAAATAAGTCATAGTCTCTTTTCCCTTAAGTAACTGACAATCTAATGGGGCAAAAAGATATTTAACAATAATGCTATTTCTTTATTTCTCCCATTGTGCCACCCCTTCCAGTTTTAAAGCTCATGCCATCAGGCTATATTGCCAGTTGCCCTTCATTGTTGCTGTCATCTGTGTTAATGACAGCTCATTCCTCCTCATTCATTGAAAGTTTTAGATCCTGATTCACTTTCCAGCACAATTGTTGATTTCCTGGTAATTTGAATAAAGCTGATATATGTGGCCACTATTTCCTATCTTTTCAGCTCACCGCCTCTAGTACCCCAGCTCTAATGAGTCTTCCAACCCCTCAGGATTTATAATCCATTGATCCTGCCACTGTTTCGTTGACTCTCACCCACCTCAGGGTTTCCGCTCCACTTCTTCCTAGCTTAGATTTTATGCTCCATCATGCATACCCACACAACTCACTTGCTCCATTCTCCCTCTGTCCAACCTTGGTTAAATTCAGTTCTCTGTCCATTTCATGCTTGCATCTGCCCAGAGTAAAACACACAGCTGTAGCAACTAGTTTCCTTTTATTCAAGATCATTAACCCAACTGAGTCCTTAGCAATACCTGGCAGTGTTAGTGTATTTCCCTGGTGTGTGTGTGTGTGTACACACACACACACACACACACACACGCCATTTTTCTGCACATCAGAATCACCTGGGGGCGCATTAAAACAATCTCAATGCCCAAGCTGTAACCCATACCAGTTAAATCATTAACTGGGGGAGGAACCCAGGCATCAGTATTTTTAAAACTACCTGGGTGATTCCAGTGCACGGCCTGTTTTGAGAACTGATATCATAGGTGACTTATTTTACATGTGTTAGTCTTTACTCAAGTCTCTAACATCTTTTCCCCAAATTGCTTTCCTGAGTGAAAACTTAGAAAAATAGGAGCAATCAGAAGCGACTTTCTGAATGCTAGCACCACATCCGTCAGCATTCCTGCATCTTCGCCTCTGTGCCTTCACTGCGGAAGGTTGGGTGAGCTGTCTCTCCTGCTCTCCAAGGCTCACTCCTCCACCTGTGCAGCAGATTCTGGATTCTGTCCCCTTTTGCCTGCTCCAGCAGTTCTCTGTTATCTTTCTTGCGTACTCTTTTCCTTTCCACTGGATTATTCCCACTGGCAAACAAATACTTATCTCCCACCTTAAAAAAAAAGATTTCTCGATCCCACACATTGTCATTCACCTACTATACGCCATTTCTCTGCTCCCCTTTATAGCCAGCCTCCTCCAAATAGTTGTCTGTATGCACTATCTCCCTTCTCCCCTTTGCTGTTGAACCCAGTATAGGCAATCTTCTCTCTCCTCCACCCCACTGAAATAGTTCTTGTCAAAGTCACCAGTGACCTTCACATTGCTAAATCTAGTGGTCAGTTTTCAGTCCCCATCTTAGTGGACCTATTGGTAGCATTTAACAAAACTGATCACTCCCTTGCTTCACTTGGCTCTAAGACACCATGCTCTTCTGGTTTTCCCCCTACCTCACTGACTATTCCTTATTTTTTTTTTATGATTTCGAAAGCACATTTATTAAAGCTGGGGACAGTTAAACAAGGAAGGGCTTAGGATAAAAGAAGCAACTCTTCAATCCTAGTTGGGGCTGCTTTGGCTCTCTAGAAATGTTATAGAAAAGAAATGAGTCTGGGCGGAGCTGCTTTGGCTCTCTGAGAAATCAGAGAAAAGGGGACCTTGGAGACAAGTTCAGAGAGTTAGCCCAGGACGAACTGCCCACTGCTATTGCTCCCCTGGTTGCAAGTCTCACGGGTTCCCTTAGAGTTTAGGAGATGCACACCTGTGGGGGAAAAGGGGGAAGGGAAAGGGCACAGGGGTGCTCTCGGGAAGGGGGGTGCACCTGACTTTTCCTTCTTTATCTTCACTGCTGGATCCTAACCCTCTTTCAAGTCACTAAATGTTGATGTGTCCAGGGCCCAGTCCTTGGATCTCTATCTGTACATCCTAGTGCTCTCATTCAGTATGATACCTTTAAATACCGCCCATGTACTTATGACTCCCAAATTTATATCTCTAGCCCTGATCACTCTTCTGACTTTCAGACTCATATATCTCACTGCCTCATTGACCTCTGCTCTGGAATGTCCAATGCAAACTTAACCAGTCCAAAACTGACTGATTCCCCCAACAAATCTGTTCTTAATTTTATTAAATAATATTTTCTTCCAGTTGCTCAACCAAAATCCTGGTTCTCCTTCATCCCACAGGCTCTCTTCAATGCCATCATCCCAGATCATCATGCAGAAGCCTTCTCTCCTCCTCGCCTTGCCCCTTCAGGCTCTGTGGACCAACTTGTGGAAGGTCTCCTGGGTGGCCTGTCTCATTGGGATGCTGAACACTTTCTATTCATTGCTGAGCATGGCTACCTGTATGAGCACAACTTTGCCTTCTTCCCTGGTTTCCCCCTGGCCCTTTTGGTGGGGACTGAATTGCTGAGACCCCTGCGGGGGTTACTGAGCCTACGGAGTTGCCTGTTAATCTCAGTAGCATTGTTCAATTCCTTGTTCTCTATCCTGGCTGCAGTCGCACTTCACGACCTGGGCTGTCTGGTTTTGCACTGTCCCCGCCAGGCCTTTTATGGAGCACTACTTTTCTGCCTCAGCCCTGCCAATGTCTTCCTGGCCGCTGGTTACTCAGAAGCTTTGTTTGCCCTCCTGACATTCACCGCCATGGGGCAGCTGGAAAGGGGCCGAAGCTGGACTAGTGGACTCCTCTTTGCCCTTGCCACTGGTGTACGCTCCAATGGGCTGGTCAACGTTGGCTTTCTCGTGCATTCTCAGTGCCAAGGCTTTTTCTCTTCTTTCATGGTGCTGAATCCTCTCAGACAGTTCTTGAAGCTGGTGGGCTCTGTGTCCCTGTCCATGCTTACACTTGGCCTTCCCTTTGCCCTCTTTCAGTATTATGCCTACACCCAGTTCTGTCTGCCAGGCTCAGCCCACTCCATCCCTAAGCCCTTGCTGCAGTTAGCTATGGACAAGGGCTACCGGATTGCAGAGGGAAACAAGCCACCTTGGTGCTCCTGGGGACTTCCCCTAATATACAGCTATATCCAGGATATCTACTGGAATGTTGGCTTTTTGAGATACTATGAGCTTAAACAGGTGCCCAATTTTCTGCTGGCTGTACCAGTGGCTATACTGGTTGCCTGGGCAACTTGGACATATGTGACCACCCACCCTTGGCTCTGCCTCACACTTGGGATGCGAAGGAACAAGAACATTGAGACCCTAGAGAAGCCTGACCCCGGATTCCTCAGTCCTCGGGTATTTGTGTACCTGGTTCACGCTGTGGCACTGCTGCTGTTTGGTAGTTTGTGCATGCACGTTCAGGTGAGGTGGGTTCCTGGCTGGGGAAAGGATGCGAATATAGGCAGAACCCCTGGGTCAGGAATGGGGAAGATGACGAACTTCTCCCATTTGAGTGATCTGTGCCTAATTTATGTATGTATGTATGTATTTATTTTAAGTATGTTTTTATTGATTTTAGAGAAAGAGGAAGAGAGAGATAGAAGCATCAATGAGATGCTCCTGCACACCCCCTACTGGGTATCGAGCCCAAAACCCCAGGCATGTGTTCTGACCAGGAATCAAACCGGTGACCTCTTGGTACATGGGCCAACACTCAACCAACTGAGTCACACTGGCCAGGCTGTGCCTGTATTATTTATTCAACAACTATGTGGGGGCTTTGTTTTTGCTAGACCTGGGTCAGACCACTGAAGATGGAACATGAGCAAGATAAGATTCCTGCCCTGGTGGGTCTCATGATAGAAATGGGAGACAGACATTTAACAGATAAAATTATAGCACTGTGGGATGGGAGAGGACTTGCTGTTTTGAGACAAGGTATTGTGGAAGTACAGAGGGAAAAAGTAGCTGACTGAAGGAGGGCATCAGATTTTGGCCAGGTTGTAAAAAATAAGGAATTCCACTTAAGAAGCAAAGGAAGAACATTCTGGGCAAATGAAGGATGTGTGCAAAGACGAGAGTTGTGACAGGACCTGATTTGACTGAGAAATAGGAATCAGCACAGATAATACCTCTGGGACTTCCCCCTAATACATAGTTATACCCAAAATGTCAATGTGATAGTTGACTTTCTGAGATACTCTGAGCGAGTGCTCAGTTTTCAGAGGAAACATCTTGTGCAGTGTTTGGGGTGCAGGTGGGATAGAAAGGGATGGGAAAGGTTTGATCGTTTGATTTTTTTTTTTGTTCCTGGCTGTGGCCTGTTTCAACTTAATCCCAAGGAAGTCTTTTGGTCTCCATGCTGGCCACTCCTTAGCAGTTTCTGCCTCTCAGAGGCACACATTGGCTGTTCGTAAAGTTTTCTGAGCTGTGTGAATAAGAGGCTCGGGAAACAGAAGCCAGCGTTCTGTGTTTATAGCTGGGTTAGCTAGTAGAAGGAGTGCCAGCAAAGCTTAGCCTTGATGAGGGAGGCCATTTGTCTCTGAATTCCCTTAGAAGGGAGCATGTTGAACCATAGCATCCTCTGCCCCCTTTCCCTCTGCTTTGCCATCCCCACAGGATAGGGGAACCACCTTAGGTTCCCAAAGCCCCACACCATAGCCTAGCGTTTATAGAGTCCAGGCCCTGGGGTAAAATTGGACCCCGCAGAGATTTTTGTATTGATTGACCCATTATTGTGGTAATTAGTCTGTAGCTATGTTTATTTGTAACATTGAGGTCACTTGGCTAGTATCACACACAGCTTTATAAGGCAGATCCTAAGCTCTACTAAATTTTGTGTCTAGTATAATACATTTCTAGTCATGGAGTTATAGTTCACCCAGCAGCAGGGAAGCCCCAGGCTGGTCCAATTTGAGGCAGTGACATTCCAATAAATGTGTGGGTTTCCCCTCTCTTATGATTTCCAGGTTCTCACCAGGTTTTTGGGCTCCTCCACTCCTATTGTATACTGGTTTCCAGCTCACTTGCTTCAGGATCAAGAGCCACTGCTGAGATCCCTAGAGACTGTGCCTTGGAAGCCTTTTGCAGGAGACTCCCCATCAGGACAAAAGGTCCCCAGAAATTCTATCATGGGACTGTTGTACAACTGGAAAATGTGTTCTCTAGTCACACGATGCATTCTAGGCTACTTCCTGACTTACTGGCTCCTGGGACTACTCCTACATTGCAACTTCCTGCCTTGGACATGACCTGGAACCTCAGGGGACAGACTTGAAGCCAACTTAATCAGGGATCTGAAAGTACAAATACATAAATGCACTGCCTGCGCTGCCTCGGGATCCTTACTCTGTCCATTGGAACCTCTCTGTTTGAAGGTTGGTTAGGAATGGGAGGAGTATGAGCCACTAGAGAGCCCCTAATGGTCCTGGCTATGGAAAATTTTAGAGTAGTAACTATTTTTGCAGTAAGTGAAAAAAATCTTATTCCAAGTCTAAAGCATACCTAGATCTGTCTTTTCAACCAAGCACAGCAGAGATAAGTCTTAAACTTACACTGACCCACATGTAAATTTAAATGTAAATGATTTAAATATAAATTTCATCAGCCCTGGCTGGGTAGCTCAGTTGGTTGGAGCATCGTCCCAATGCACCAAGGTTTTGGGTTTAATCCCCAGGCAAGGCACATACAAGAATCAACCAATGAGCCCTAGCCAGTTTGGCTCAGTGGTTAGAGCATCGGCCCGCAGACTGAAGAGTCTCGGGTTTGATTGTGGCCAAGGGTATGTACGTTGGTTGCAGGCTCAATCCCTGGCCCTGGTCAGGGCACATGCAGGAGACAACCAATCAATGTGTCTCTGTCACATTGATGTTTCTCCCTCCCTCCCCCTCCCGCTCTCTGAAAAAGCAATGGAATATCCTTAGGCCCTGCGATGTGGCTCAGTGAATTGAGCATCGACCTATGCACCAAGAGGTCGCTGGTTCAATTCCTGGTCAGGGTACATGCCTGGGTTGCAGGCTCGATCCCCAGTAGGGGGTATGCAGGAGGCTGTTGATCAATGTTTCTCTCTCATCGGTGTTTCTATCTCTCCCTTTCCCTTCCTCTCTCAAATCAATAAAAACATTAAAATATATATATATATATCCTCAGGTGAGGATTTAAAAAAAAAAAAGATCAACCAGTGAGTGCATAGATAGGTGGAACAACAAATCATTGTTTCTTTCTTTCTCTGCCCCCCTTCCCCTCTCTCAAAATCAATTTTTAAAAATATATAAATATATATATAATAAATAAATGTAAATTTTCTCAAAGGTTCTAGCTAACAGGCTGGTAATAGTCCACACATGATGGCAGAGGCCTGAACAATGCAGTGGCAATAGTAAGTAAAGTGGGACCTTCTTTTCTAAATGGGACATTGTTTCTGATTATCTTTTTAAATGATTTGTTCATTTATTTATATGAAAACTCTTACAAAGGTATTCAGATTAAACAACTTTTGGTTATACAAGCAATCAATTAGCTTTTTAAAAATAATACAAATTACTTGGGGGGAAAAGTCATAGTAAGAAGAGCATTGCCCAAGGAAGCAGGAGACCCGGATTCTGGTCCTCTCAGTAAAACCCACTTACCAGCCGTGTGACCTTGGGAGAGTTTTCAGAGCCGGCGTACCTCCTCTGAAACTGGGGGAAATGATATTACCCCATAAGGGGATCTAGGGGTTGGGGGAAATTTTTCTTGTAGGTCCCTTTTCTAAAATCTTCAGAGCTGCCTTTAACAATGGAATCATCCCATTCTAAATGCTTATGTAGAGGCTCAAACGTAATTTTAAGAGAAAATATTCAGTTCTGCTTTCAGCACTTAGAAGAAACTCTCCCCCCTCCTTGGGTGCAACTCTGAGGAGTAACTTAAGTGAGCTTTTCTTTGAATGTGGGAATGCAGTGGCACCTGGCAAGTAGGCCCTTGGTCCTGCATGGGCAAACCTATACCAGGCAACTGAGTGGTCAAAGCTGTCACTGGTTTGCCTGCCATGCCGAAGTGCCTGTGCTTGCTTGATTGGTAGACATGGGTCAGAGGAGCCAACATGGCAGCATGAATTAATAAATTGTAGGTAAATCCAAGGTTGAGTAAAATGGTATCTGACTGGCCCCATTTGGTTATGAGCCCATCACTTTAATGGTAGTAGGATCATTAAATAATTTTACATTCTTTGAGCCAAGTAAGAGGTTCTGCATCATCACCATTCATTCCCCATTTGAGCAAAAAATCCCAACAAGCAGAAACTTCAAAATAAATGGTTAATCATAAGCAGCTCTCGAGAGCCCTGAGAATTGGAATTTTGACACACTCCCTCTGACCATGACAGAAAGTTAAACTTGCCAGCTGAAGGGAAGCTCCTGGCTGAGACCCAGCACCCTCTGTTGGAGCTTCTCTAGTCAGCCTGGCCAATAAGCATTTCCCATCCATTACCCCAGCTTTCGCACAGCTGAGAGAATTTGGTCCAGAGTCAAATGCTTCTGAAAATGTACACACAGATTGGGGCAGCCCTCTGCCTTCTGCCAAGACACCCAAGTGCCCTTCTTGGCAAAAGATCATCCCTGCCCTAGTGTCCTTCCACTTGGCAGAAATTGTTCCCTCCCTCCCTCATCAACGGCTGCAAATCCAGGGACTTCCACCCTGTGTTCAGGAAGAGCTGAGGTCCTGTTTCAGCTCTTCATTGCAAAAGTAGGAGCACTAGACTCTGCTCTCATGCTTTCTCCTCTTTGCCTCTTCTTGGGGGATAATCAGGAATGATTGGTCCCCTACTGGAAGAGGTGACTCAGACTCCACATGGTGGGGAGTGATTTCACTGCTCTGGCAGTTTCAGCTTAACCTTTACACTAGATCTCATCACCTCCAGAAACAAGTAATTTCAAGGACCAGAGACCCTATAAATGGGAATGTCATCTTCTCAACTAAATCACTCTGGTATCTAGCAAAGACCATTATGGTTACAATTGATCATAGAAGAGAGCACCGAGGACCCCAGATAGGTGGATGCACCTGGTGTGACCTGGAGACAACACAGTTTTCTCTTTGACCTTGGTGGGATGGAGTTGCTGTTCTCTAAGGATCTAAGGAATGGGCTGATTTTATGGCCAGCAGCTGTCCTTTTACCATCCTATTAACAGTCTTTTAATAGTCTGGGAGAAGGACATGAAGGGCCCAAGGCAGGAAGCTTCCTGTTTACCCTGAGGTCTAACAATGCTGCAGCTGGGTTGGGCGTCTACAATTTCAGAGAAAAGTAATTTCCTTCTAAGACACAACTAAAACAGAAACCAGAGCTTCATGTACCTAGAAGTCTATGCTTTTTTTCTTCTTTAATGAAGGTGGGAGGAGAGGGAATGTTTGACATGTCTTTACCAGTCCCCTTGGGGGGGGGGGAGTCACTCCTTTTCTTGAACAGACCCTCTCACCTTCATCTAAAAATGTAATGTATGTGCCCGGCCAGCATGGCTCAGCGGTTGAGCATCGACCTATGATCCAGGAGATAGATCATGGTTTGATTCCCAGTCAGGGCACATGCCCCGTGGTTGCGGGCTCAGTCCCCAGTGGATTAGCGACTCTCTCATCATTCATGTTTCTATCTCTCTACCTCTCCCTTCCTCTCTCTGAAATCAATAAAGACATATTTTTTTAAATGTAATGTGTGCAAGCTCAAGGGATTTGAAGTTGGTTGATTCAGCAATTGTTTATTTCTACTTTAGGGGAATAAAGATTACTCACTATGCCTCCCTTTCTCAAATAATTATCTCATAGAGTTTCTAGCAGATACACAGAAACATTAATCAAGATAGAAACATCAATTCTGGGGAATTAAGAGATACTCTGTATCTCTGTGCTTGAACTTTTTATGATGAGGATGAATTAAAGCTTTACTCATATGTGTAGGAAAAGGTAAGTGAGGTACTGAGTAAGTACTCTGTAAATTCAAACAAGGTGGAGATACCTTCCAGCTTGGAATACCTGTAAAGGCTTCATAGAGAAATGCCTTTGAGCTAGACTTTGAAGGACAGGTAGAATTTGAAAGTTAAGGGCAGAGAATGAGTATAGGACGCAGGAAATGGAACAGGACAGGAAGAGAGCTTAGTTTGAGTGGAACTGAGGTATTGTCATTATTGAGAACTAGGCCTTGAAATCAGCCCCAAGCCTAACTCTACTGTGTACTAGTTATGTTTACTAGTTGTGTAAACATAAGCCAGATACTGAGTCTCTAAGACTCAGTTTATTAATCTGTAAAATGTGGGTAACACTTTAGCACATAGATGTGAATACAGACATCTGTCTCATACATAGGCTTGTTGTGGGAATTAATTGAAAAGTGTTTAGAACAGTACTAAGGGAATAGCTGCATTTGGACATGTTGAGTTAACAATGCTATCAGCACATTCATATGCCAGGAAATGTGGAACGAGACAAGGAGAGGGGTCAGGGAGCCATCCAACCAGACATATTACAGCAGCCATGAGATTGGGTTTGATTGTCAAAAGGAAAAGTGTAGAGAGAGAGGGAGGGTCTATAAGACCTTGGGCAAGAGACTCAACTTCTCTAAACCTATTTTCTCATCTCTAAAATAGGAGTGATAGCATCTATCACACAGAGTAGTGAGGATTAAATGGGACACTAGATAAAGCACTAGCATGGTGCCCGACACATAGAACTTCATGAAAAAAACCACCAACTTCATGATGTTAGCTGCCATTATTACCATTATCATTATCATCATCATTAAAGGACTAGAAGCAAATAGTTTCAGGGGAAGGGAAAGTTTTAAGAAAAAAGAAATGGTTAAGGTTAAGGAAAGGATGAGAAAAGTAGGCTAACTGCTGTAGCAACTCCCAAAACGCAGTGTCTTAAAAATAAGAGTTTCTTTTTTTTTTTTTTTTTTTAATCCTCACCTGATGATATGTTTTTTACTGATCTTAGAGAGAGAGGAAGGGGGAGAGAGAGAAACATCGATTGGTTGCCTCTCGCATGTGCACAAAGCAGGAATCAAACCTGCAACCTAGGTATGTGCCCTGATCTGGAATTGAACCTGCAACCTTTTGGTCTATGGGACTACGCTCCAACTGAGCTACCAGCCAGGGCAAAAGTTTCTTGTTTACACTGTAGTATAATGCAGGTTTGGGGAAGGAGGCCTGTTCCACTCAGTCACTTGGGACCCAGGCTTCTTCCATTTTGTGGCTCTGCCCTCAGAGAGAGAGAGAGAGATTTTAAGGAATTGGCTCGTGATTGTGGAGGCTGGCCAGTCTAAAATCTGCAGGGTAGCCGGGCCGGGTGTGGCTCAGCGGTTGAGCATCGACCTAGGATCCAGGAGATTGCAATTCGATTCCCTGTCAGGGCACATGCCTGGGTTGTGGGCTCGATCCCCAGTGAATCAGTGACTCATCATTGATGTTTCTATCTCTCTCCCTCTCCCTTCCTCTAGCTGAATCAATAAAGATATTTAAAAATAAATAAAATAATTAAAATCTTCAGGGTAGGCCAACAGCTGGAGACCCACGAAAGAATTGATGTAGTTTGAGTCCAAGAGCAATCTGCTGGTAAAATTCCCTCTTTCTCAAGTGAAGTCTCTCTTTTTTCTAT